CATTAAACTTGATTACAGGTACAGGTAAACCTCTTCGGTAATCAGCTTGGGCCACCGTGCGCAAGTTGTGCGATACACGTACGTGATATCTAAAGCACTTTCTGACGTAACTGTTATCTTCTCCAGTTCCAAACTTCATAACATATTGTTGCCGACCCTGCATCAACAAACTTCGTCATAAGACACGACTCACCTGATTTAGGATAGCTCACAACAAACACATCGTCTGGCCTGGTTTGAAAACCAGTGATGAAATCATGCAGCAACTGAGGAACGGGAACGAAATATGCAGGAATTCTTAATCCCAAGATTTCAACAGTTTTATCCGAAGTCCATTCTCCTTCACTTTCCTGAAGAACTGGAAACGTTGACATGGTGTTACGATGCACGAAAAATGTCACTCCTGCAAGGACGATGAACGAAATCGAAGGAGGCTCAAAATTCACTAATTAAGGCCAATTAATGGAATTTTTAGAGGCTCACATGTGACTTATACCTAGTCGATGAACGAAATCTGAGGAAACCCTCCTGCAAGGATTGGGGAGACTAAGTTGACGCTTCTCGAATGCGTTCGTCGAGGGTAAGAATAAACGGTAGTTTTGGTCAGCGGGGAAATTATGAAACCCGCGACTGTTGCGGAGGTCTGAGAAAGGATGACATTTAAAAACTGAAGACAATTTTATACTAGGACACTAGAATGGATAGTGATGGCGACTACTCAATCGTCTTTAAACAAATCGGAGATTGAATTCCTTGAGGAAAACCTTGAAAATTGTTTTGTCAAAAACCAGTGCTTCTTGGGTTATTTTGATGGGAAAAGAGACCAGTTGGAGGATATGCTGGATAGGCTCTTCTTTTATGTTCCAAATGCATTGAATGGAACACCTTGCACTCAAAGGAGTTGAATCGCAAGAGTTTTTCGAAAAATGGTAGGTAGGGGGAAGCGACGAGGTCTGGGACCGAGAAACGATGATCACACAACTTGCAAGGTCGCGTCAAAGTAACATCGACCAAAAGGAGGTCACGGCTTTGGATGTTGCTTTACGAAAACTTTCGGGCAGCACGAATGTACCGAAAGTAGAAACGTTAAAAATCAGCTGTGAACTGAATGAACCGGTTCTCTATGTGATCAAGTGTGATGAGGAAAAATGGCAGTAAACTTTGATTTTATAATTTCGGCGAGTGATGGCTACGTCTATGATTGTGAGATATTAGAAAGAATTATTCGAAGCCACGAAGTTCATTTTGTTCAAACTTCTAAAGAATTTTGGGCGGAAAAGTAGGCTGAAGTCCTAATTTTGAAGTCAGAAAAAAGCAGTTCAGAGCCGGTCAAAGGATATTAAATTGTAATTTAATACTTTTCACGGAAGGTCAGACAAATAAAGCAAAGAAAGTTTTTTCTTCCAAAAGATGAATGATTAAATCAACATTCAAAACAAAACATCTACCTGAGGGTCGCTGTTTTATCTAACATCTACCTAAAAGCATTTAGGTTAAAGGTCAGACAAACAGGAGAACAAGACTGACCACAAATGTATGTTAAACACGAACTTTTTAAGTCAGAGTTCCACTAATAAAGGTAAAAAAAAAAATTTTTGTTTGCCTCAACGTAATCCATGCAATTTGAATGCATTCATTTATAATACAACAATACTGTATAGTATGTATAAAGTCGTATCCTATCTTATCGAATTATCAACCACGCTAAGTGCCCAAGTAGCAAACTTCAGTTGCAAAGACGTCTGTGCCAATAAGTTTATCTGATTTTTCTTTTTAATAGAGGTCCGCGCCGAATCACTCAGAATTATCTGGGAAGATCCGCAGCCCGTCAAGGGAGAGAAATTAAATTTCGACGATATTCTTTTATGATTATTTGAACAGCCGCATATGACTGTCATCAAGGAAAAGACAGAAATCTGGTGTTCAAGAAGCGCATCAAAGGAGAAAAAACTAAGACGTGAAGCAAAATCTCCAAAATCAAGCACTGAAAACTTTATTGCAACAGCTCTTGCAAGGGTTAAAAAGTTTTCATAAAAATTTTCTACTGCTTTCTTTAGTTTTTGTCTCAAAGATGAAGTCTGGAGTCATTTCCTACAGAGTCCCACAACATACCAAGAAATTATATCGCGTTTGCAAAATTTTATAATAAAACACGCTGTGAAGAACCTCTTATGTTAGTGCTTAACAAAGAAACGGAACAAGTTGCAGCTACCGTTTAGCTCAAGTCAGTAAAGGTTTCTTAGAGCTTAAAAAATAATAAAAACTAAAACCAAAAACAACAAATATGTGATTAATTTTCCCGAAATCGTTCGATTATTGAAAGTTACAGTCGGAAATGACTAAGTCGAACCCCAAAAAGTACATAAATATAACCCAGGCCGTGTATGGACTAAATTTTCTCGTCAAATACCTTATATTTCAATAAATTTGAATATATGAAAGTCATATATGTGTACTGCAGTTGCATGAAATGTATGAAAGCGATCCTCGCAGTAATAAACCTTACTTATGTGGTAGTGGAAATAAGGCCTGAAAAATTTCAGGCCCGTACGGGATTGAATCCTCAGGCCTTATGTTACTCTGATGTGATCAAATTGCAAATTGATTCACGGGCTTGTCAGCGGGCTTCCTTAGCCACGCGAACCGCTTTACGTGTAAAATTTGGTCTTGCAAGTAACTTCTACCGTTGTTCTTAGTACAATTGTTAAAAATGTTATCGTAGTAAAACTGTATATTGTGGATACACTCTTTTCTCTTGCCTTTTTGTTGATGTCGCTTCGGCGAAGCCCGTTCGAGGATGCGAGGAACTTTAAAAAAACAAATCTGAGTCTAGGTGGGGAATGCCTTCGTCAGAAAGTGTAAATCGACGCTCAGAATTCTAAGTTTCGATTAAAGTCGTACAAACACCTCCACGAATTTCGATTGACGTTACTTTAAATGGATGGCTCATGGAGGAAAGTAATTTTAACTTGTCAGCCCCTTCATATACAAGTGTGGTAAAGATTCAGTTGCCGCCACACTGTTTATCTTTGTAATACCTAACTAAAACTCGGCGTTACGAACGCCGCCCTTTATTTCAAACTGGTAATTAACATCCCATTCCTCTCGTAGCCCATTTTGTTTTTAAAAAGTAAATAAGCTATATACTCTACCAAATACCTAAATAACCAAGAGCACCAAACCACGCTAACCTGAAAGTTGGGCTGAACAGACGGCTGCGGCGCTCCGGAACAGCTGAAAATCTAGATAAAAAATCAGATGTAGTAAAATAAAAGTCATACCTAGTAAATGCGTCTGGATGGAAATTTTGGAGCAACGTGATTTAAATAGGACAATCACATAAATTTTGGAGAACATATAGTTTATTTGTGGCTCGAGGGGAGTGAGGGTGTAAGTGATGTTACGAGGGACACAAATAAACTATATGCCCGACAAAAGTCAATTTATTTTCATTATTATCAATACAAAAGGCCAAATCGTACAAATTAATTTAATAAAAAGACGTGTTTAGTTGCTATCATCGCTCTCAATTATTCGGCGGCGTTTTTGGGTTGATGGCGACGGTCCTTCATACTTTCCGTGATAAATGTTCGTTGTTCCAATCCGAATATCTTGGGTGTAATTTTGGTAGGGCTGTGCCAAGGAGATAAAATGGTTTTCGAGAGGAGACTGGGGGTTCAAGTTTGAGCGGGCTGCAATTGTTATTTACAGCCCGCAGTTTGCTGTTTGATCCGCGAAAAGGAGCGTTTTAGAGAGGGCAGGTTGTCATTTGGCCGCGTGTAGTGGTAATATTATAAGTGATTTAACGATTTATATCGTCGCTGTACAAATGTATTTATCCGTCGATAAACCGTTTCACTGTCATCATCTTAAAAATGGTAATCTGTAAAGGGGTTATTCACTGACAATTTCCAGTGAGAATGCTTTGCAAGTTGTGAGCACATCGTTTCGATTTCATTTAAGAGAATGCATGGGAAGTGGCTTCCCTCCCCTCCTCCCCCCCACCGGGTATGTCATCATCATCATCATCATGACTTTATTATAGCGTCAAAAAAGAGCTATAAGCTACTTAGCCGAGGGTAAAAGAAACCGTCTACTAATTAGGGACACTGTATGTAGCAGAGAATTACTTTTTCTAATCCAAATACCCTTATACTCCACGCATTCTATCCGTCAAAGTTCTTCGGGCGACGAAAGAAAGGGGGCTAGAACTCTCGGTCTCGCATTTTCTTCTCGGAAGGAGATTCTCTTGTTCTGACCTTTACCAAATGAGGCATGGATTGCTATTATCAGACTCGGACTCGGTAAGGTAGACTGAAAAAGGCTTGGGACGAGACAAAACTAAGGATGCTTTTCAGTTTCAGGATTGACCATTGCGCTCTTGGTGTGTTTTACGTTATTTGATTCTCTCTTGAATAAGATGAATGGTTGTTAGCTTCAGATATGATACAGCTTTGTGGAAGGTAAGGAAACGAAAATATATTCCTATGAAAGCGTCTTGAACTTAGCAGTCAATAATAGCACGTGTGAGGGAGTCAAATACTTCTTGTATTCAAATGAAGACTGAGAAGCTGTTTTTACTTTAACACTCTTTACACACCGCAGAACTAATGTGAACTTTTCAATGCAGCTAAATTACAGCTGAATATTATTTGGTAAATACGATTTAAGGATCAAAAGTTGTATGGACTTCTTGAAGCTATGGCTTCTGCTTTGAATATGACGTAGAACTGATCGCAAAATTGCTGTCGACGCTTTCTGTGCAATGTTGACATGCTACAGCAGAAGAAATGAAAACATCACAAGACTTGAGCTTTTGTACTTTGCTGCTTTCGGTTGTAGGCTTTTAAGTCCCATATTCAGTTAGATGACTTTTTGTGGATACTGATAGAACAGCATCCTTTATGCCATCGCATGTGTAAGGTAACAAAAGAAACTTCGGGTACCAATAAGATCGTGAGAAATGCAATCGATTTAACGTCAATAACATTTTGATGGACCTCGAGTAGTTCTCGGCAGTCCGTCTTTTCCACGACTTTGGATGGGTCTCAACGATCGCCACCGACAATGATACAGATATATGCGATATTCCAAATATGGTTGGCGATAAATGTCTGCAAACGCTCGGAAATTTTTTGGCTGTTGTACCAATGGCGCCCAAAATGACGAGTAAGCCACGTCTTTTGCTGACGAGTAAGGATGGGCCGATACGGCTTTTTCGAATCGATACGATACCGAGTACGATATTTGCTTTTTTCTTCCATATCGATATCAACACCGATACTGTGACGTCATTGAAATAAGCAGTAAGTCACGTGATCTGATTGACTAAATGAAGGCACTCTCTTATGGTTTTCTGTTCAGTTCTCTACAATACCATCAACAAGACAGTCAAAAAAGTCAAATATTTCAATTTAATGGGACTCGTATTTAATTTCCTTGAGGAAATGAATAAGAACGCTATGATGCAATCTTTCTACTTACTATATTAAGCAATCTGCAACTTTACATACCTACATACATATTTATTTATTGCGCTCCCTGAAAAGGGCTTTTCAGCAGCAATATTTAAATAACAAATAGACTAATTTGACTCTAAATTAAATGAAAATCTTACATGAGTTAGAAATTATTTAAAAATCTTAATGATCTTAATGAAATAAGAGATGAAATTAAATATTAACTATTAAATACAACGTTTCATGATAAATTATTTAAAAGCAGTTCACATACATTCTTTTTAAAAGTCCTCAGTAAAGGGGTTAACTTTAGATCCAAGGGGAGTGAGTTCCAAACTTTTGCTCCCCGAAAGGCAAATGACCTCTGGCCAGTAGAAAGTCGACAGTGTGGAAAGTTGAGATCATTATTATCAACAGATCTAAGTTGTCTATTATGAACTTGTGACCTATATACAAATTTGTCTTTCAAATAGATGGGCACCCGATGGTGTAAGCATTTATGCACTATGACGGCTGTGTTTAATCGCAAATTACCCTCTATACTAAGCCACCTAAGTGATTTAAGGCCCTGAGAGATGTGATCGAACTTTTTCAGGCCGAGTACAATCTTTCCCGCAAAGTTCTCAACCAGTTGCAGCTTCTTTATATTTGACTTGGATGTGTTTCCCCAAACAGTCGAACAATAAAAGAGTTTACTAAATACAAAGGCATTAATCGCCAAAAGTGGAGTTTTCTGATCTAATAAGTGTTTTATCCTATTTAATTGAACAAGTTTGTGAACACAGCTCGAGACTAGCTTTGAGATAGGTTCATTGTAATTGAGAGTTTGGTCGATATAGACACCCAGGTCTCTGGCAACAGAAACAGGTTCAATCTCTTTTCCAAGGATAGTAACAGATAGACGATGGCAAATTACGCAAGAGTTGTGGAACGCCAATAACCAAGAGTTTAGTCTTGTCGGGGTTAATCAACAGTGAATTCTTGCAGCACCAACGGGATATTTTCAAAAGGTCCTCACTTAACGCATTGCTTCCGTCAGTAATATCACGAGAAGGAAAAGATAAGAAACCTTTTGTGTCTTCCAAGTAACCTGAAGATTTGCAGTGCTTGGGAATCGACAATAAATCGTTAACATACACTGTGAATAGTACAGGACCAAAGATGGAGCCTTGGGGAACCCCGAAATTTAAAGGTAATGGATCAGACATAGCGTCCTCGATCCTCGCGATTTGACTACGCTTTGTCAAGTAACTCTTAAACCAGGTCCAAGCGGTAGTAGAGACGCCCATTTTGTGGAGTTTCATAAATAGGTGCTCATGCTGAATGCTGTCGAAAGCTTTCGACATATCTAATAAAACAATCAATGAAATTTTCTTCTCAGCTATGTTCTTTAAAATGTTATCTGTAAATTGAAGTTAGGCTTCTCGGTAGAGTGTAATTCCCGATTACCGCTTTGAAACTTTGAGATTTTTCCGGAGCGATTCAGAAAATCAACAAATTGACGATGGGCGAGTCTCTCACAGACCTTCGATGATATTGGAAGCAAGGAAATAGGGCGTGTATTTGCTGGTTCGTTGGAATCGCCAGACTTACGGACAGGTATCACTTCTGCCATTTTCGACGATCGAGCAAAAGTGCCTGTAGCAAACGACTTGTTAAACAAATGCGTGATTATCGGAAGTATTGCAGGGAGGCTATCCTTAAGAACTCTAGATGTTAATTTGTCGGCAGCAGGAGCTTTATTCGAGGGTAGACCATTAACTTTCACTTGCATTCATGATCATAAGGCGCACACTGAAAGGTTATCAGTCATCACACGGGTCACTAATGTAACACTATTGTCACGCAATCGCTTGTTGTCATGTGACTCGAGTTAGCCAATCAAGTTAGTCTTACCTCGTGCTGGGATTCGCTTGCACTGTAAGTTCTTCGTTCTATTAAACGTTAAGATTTCAACTACTTTGTGATAGTTTATTTCACTGGAATCCCAACATGGTGTCAGGAGTCTTCTTTTAAATTGTCTTGGAACTCCTAAAACCTTCACGAGCGACCTGTAACGCGAAGAGTTTTTTGGAAATGCCTCCACCGCTTGATGAGTCGAACGCCACTGGCTCAACACAGCAGATCGCTTCTCTGACTTTTACTACTAACGTACCTCTACCAGGACGACTGGAATTAAAAGGCAATCTCTCCGAGAACTGGAAGAAATGGAATCAAGTTTGGGACGCCTACGAAACCGTCACAAAGCTAAACGAAAGGGAAAGTAGATTCCGTGTAGCGACTTTCATCACTTGCATCGGTCCCGACGCGCTCGAAGTACACAATGGCCTGCCCTTTTCCTCAGATGAGGACAAAGAAGATATAAATGTCGTTCTGAATCTATGGAAGTCCCATTGTATTGGTCACACAAATGTGATCTACGAGCGTTACAAGTTCAACAATCGCAAACAAGAGTCTCACGAATCAATCGATGTTTACGCTGCGGCACTGCGAGCGTTAGCGGCAACGTGCGAATTTGGCGAGTTAAAAGCTGAGATGATTCGCGACCGCCTCGTTTGTGGAATCACCGACAATAGCGTTCGTCGAAAGTTGTTGCAAGAGCCTAAATTATCGCTCGAGAAGTGTTTGGATATCTGTCAATCAGCCGAAGCCACCAGTGCTCACCTCAAGGTTATCAGCCGGCGGTCATCGAGCACAGGCACACCAGCTGATAATGTCAATGCAGTAGACAAGCGGAAAAGATCGAAAGCGCCACCCAAACGACGCAGCGCCGGTGAGAAGCAAAAACAGCCCTTACCCGAACCCAAAGAAGATTGGTTAAAACGTTGTAAACACTGCGGAAGAAGTCACGCCAAGCAACGCACGAAATGTCCTGCATTTGGAAAGCTGTGTAGTGCATGCAATAAACCCAATCATTTTGCTGAAATGTGCAGGAGTGTTTCTAGTAAAAACAGCCGAAAACGGAATGATGTTAACATGGTCACCTCTGAAGATTCCTCCGAAGAAGAATTGCTGTCAGTATCCTTTGATTCACATGAAGGAAATGTACATGCAGTCGATGAAGACAATTTTCCTGAGAAGAAAATCTTTGCGACAATGGAAATTGCAGGAGCAAATATTCAAATGCAAATTGACACGGGTGCCTCATGTAATGTTTTACCTCAAAAATTTGTGCCCTCAGGAACACTCATTACTGAGACTGACCGTACTTTGAAGATGTATAGCAAGTCTACTTTGCCTGTCTTAGGAACATGTAGAGTGAGCATGCGTAACCCAAAGAACAGCAAGAAGTACAATGTCGAATTTGTTGTTGTGAAAGGCAATTATACACCGTTGATTGGATCTCGTGCTTCTCAGCAAATGAATCTGGTAACAGTTCACCAAGAAAACATTCAGCAAGTTACCACCGACGCTCAAAGTCTTACCCTGAATCAAGTAGCAGAAGAGTTTGGAAATGTGTTTAAAGGACAAGGCTGTATGCAAGGAAAACTGCACCTCGAAATTGACGCAACAGTCACACCAGTGATTAATCCACCTCGTCGAGTCCCGTTTGCACTCAAAGATAACTTGAAGTCTGAATTAGACCGGTTAGAGAGACTACAAATGATCCGGAAAGTAAAAGAGCCAACTGAATGGGTGTCAAGCCTCGTAGTGGTGGAAAAGCCGAATGGCAAGTTGAGGGTTTGTATCGACCCAGTCCACTTGAANATGAGCCAGTTGAGGGTGAAGGAGATGCCTCAGAGAAAGGAATTGGCTTCGCCCTTATGCAAGAAGGTCAGCCTGTAACCTATGCGAGCAGATCTCTCACGAAAGCTGAGCAAAACTACTCACAAATCGAGAAGGAGCTACTTGCACAAGTCTTTGGCATGGAGCATAATCACCAATATGTATACGGCAGAAAGGTTACCCTGTGGACAGACCACAAGCCTTTAGAGATAATCGCCAAGAAACCTCTGGCTGCAGCTCCAAAACGTCTACAGCGTCTTATGATGAGATTAACGCAGTATGATGTGGAAATCAAGTACAGACGTGGCCCTGAGATGTATCTTGCCGATACACTTTCCAGAGCGTACTTGCCCCAGGAACACCACCCAGGAAAGGCAGATCAAGAAGTGGAGAGGATCCATTCTGTAAATTTCCTATCAATATCTGAGCCACAGATCCAAGAAATCCGCGAAGAAACTGCCAAAGATCCTGTCTTGCAGACTCTTAAAGCAACGATTCTGAATGGTTGGCCTAGCCAAAGAAAGGAACTACCTCCTGAACTGCATGAGTACTTCAAAGTCAAGGACGAGTTGGCGACACAAGATGACATTATTTTCAAGGGTCCCAAATGCGTTATCCCGAAAAGTCTAAGACCCAAGATCAAGGAAAAGCTCCACCGATCCCACATCGGTATTCAAGGTTGTTTAAGAAGAGCCCGTGAAGTGGTGTATTGGCCCAACATGAACAGAGAAGTGACAGAATTTATCTCAAAATGTGAAACCTGCAACACCTTCCAGTCTGCCCAACAGAAAGAGCCTCTTATTTGCTATGAAATCCCACAGCATCCTTGGGAAAAGATTGGTTGTGACATCTTCACATTTAATAATCAAGACTACCTGTGTACCGTCGATTACTTCTCCGATTATTTTGAGATTGATGAGCTACGCAAGTCAAAGACAAGTGCCACAGTGATTGGAAAGCTCAAGAAACGTTTTGCCACCCATGGAATTCCAGATACATTCCACAGTGATAATGGTCCACCCTTTTCTTCAAATGAGTTCTCAGCCTTAGCAGCAATGTACGAGTTTGAACACGTCACCAGTTCGCCGGAGTATCCGCAGAGCAACGGCAAAGTGGAAAATGCAGTTAAAACAGCAAAAAGCCTGATGAAGAAATCTGCTAGTACAAACTCGGATTTTCAGCTTGTATTGCTAGATTGGCGAAATACACCAACAGAAGGTATGAAGAGTTCAACAGCACAACGATTGTTCAGCAGGCGCACAAGAACACTGCCGCCGACCTCGAAGAAACTCTTGAAACCCCAGTTAGTCACAGATGTTAGAGAGAGGAAGTCACAGAGGAAAGAAGTTCAGACACGTTATTACAATCAAAATGTCAAAGAACTTTCCAGCCTCATAAAAGGTGATGTTGTACGTCTGAAACCACAAGTCTCTGACGGAAAGCAGAGATGGACAAAGGCACAAGTTGAGCAACAAGTAGATGTCAGATCCTACGCCATTAGAACAGAAGATGGCAGGTTGTTCCGAAGAAACCGGAGACATCTTCGGCAGTCCAAGGAACCGTTCATGCCGAAGGATGGGGACATTGAAAATCCAACTCCAATTCTGAACAGTCCACCAACCAAAGCCAGCACAGAAACCTTATCAGGAGAAAACAGCACAGGACTGCCAACAACACTCTCCAGAAACCAACCAGGGCCAAGATCATCAGCTACCCGTCCAGCCCCATTGACTGAGTGCCAAAAGAGCAATGTGGTCACACGCAGCGGACGCTTTATTCGTCCCCCTGGCTACTTAAAAGACTTTGTTCAGACTTAGGTCTTTACATTTATCCCTTTTTTTGTTTACGGTTCGGCCGAGTTTGTGACAAACATTATCGTTATGTTTCTCAGATTATTTCCGTGTACACCTGTGCGAATATTTTATTGAAACCGTTCATTGTTTCATTTTCTCTATAGTTCCAGTTGTTTCTTTTAAAAAAAAGAAGGAAAGGTGTAACGTTATTGTCACGCAATCGCCTGTTGTCATGTGACTCGAGTTAGCCAATCAAGTTAGTCTTACCTCGTGCTAGGATTCGCTTGCACTGTAAGTTCTTCGTTCTATTAAACGTTAAGATTCCAACTACCTTGTGATAGTTTATTTCACTGGAATCCCAACAACTAACAATAACCAAGCACGGGTATCTGACTTATTATGGATCCTGTGCTTCAACACTTGATACATTAGAGACTCCTTGGCATACAGGGCCATACAGAGGTGCCATACTTTGGAACTATTTGACCTTTCTCAGTTCTTTTCTCGCTCGAGGTTTTTCTTTAGTAGGCAGACATAGTAGTTTGCAACTCACTTTTGTTACTCCAGATATGTCCTTCTAATGTCTGGACTGTTGTGAGTTGAGATTTTGGTGCCGTTCTACCGAATGACTTTACATTTACGGTTAATAAAATCGGGTCCTATTTCACAGTGAATTCGAAATGTTCACTGTGGCAGTCCTACACTGCACACAAATGCGCACATACACGATCACGATCCTGGAGTCTTTTAGCCTACTTGTCAGTTGGTAGTCGCGGGAGATTAAAGCGCGGGTAGGTCACGTGCAGTATCGAAAGAATCGATACTCTTTGCTAGTAGCGATATTTTTCGATCCAACTGCGGTATCGCTGTTATCGAATATTTTATATCGGTACCGGCCCATCCTTACTGACGAGCAGAACTAGCGGCGTAGCCGATGTACCAAGTGACAACGAAATTTGGTAATTAGAAATGTTTTATCTCTATTTTACCCACTCAATCAGGCGCAGCTTTCGAGGAATACGTGACTAGTACGTTTATAAAGAACTGTTCAACACTTTCCGCACCATTCGAGATGTTTTTGAAAGAGATTTGGTAAATGGACAGACCTTTCTGTTGGACAACAGTTATCGAGCAACAAATTCGAACATTGTCAAAACTTTGGCGATCCCCGATTCTTTTAATTTAAGCCAAATTGATTTTCATTCATCATTTTTGTTTGGAAGTAATCGTGCACGTTATGCTGAACATTATATCTGTCAAAATCTTAGCCGCGTTTCCGTGGAAAGGCTCTTAACAAGAGCCCTGCACTAGCTCCGATTTTAGGATTGTCCCGAGGTTTTGGGACACAAAGAATCTCCTCTGTGAGACAACAAACCTCCTTCGATTCGGGAGACAATGAACCCCCTTCGTGAGACAAAGCACACTGATAAGACTTCATGCAATGTTGCGTATGACAAAATATTTGACAGAAATGATAGTGTGGATAAGTCTTTTGACCGTGAAGAAATCAAACCGACACATTTTGTTTGAAGCAATGTGGTTGCGAGATGCTCCCTTATTAGACTATTCCTGAAAGCTGTGCCTGGTTCTGTAAAACACAATACAGCGGTTGATTCTGTTACAAAAGTACCAATAATCAGTGGTAAGGAACTCAAAAGTATGAAAAACGGTCTGCAATTTAGATCACGTACACCGTTCAGGCGGCTAGCAGTAAAACCATACAGATCTCAAGATAGAGAACCATCTAGAATATCATTGCGAAAAGTTATCCAGTCATTGAAATTTAAAATATCAAGCTCTCACTTGGTTGTCACGGGCTCAGCGACGTACAACGAGAATTTCTGCAAGAGATCTGTCTCGCCCTTGTTAGCAACATTCATGTTCTTTTAGAGTGTCAACACCTTCTACATTTTTGCTTAAGTAACACTTCTCGGACGGTTCATTGGAAGTTGAAGATTCATGTTGCTGCGTCAAACATTGGAATGGAATGCAAGTGGCTTCGTTATCTGCCTTGCAAAATTCCATCAGGCATATGTTGCTTTGCATTGTCTCCTAATGTAAAATTTCTGGCGGTCGGTAGACGAAGGAACTCATCCATTTATTAGTTGGATGCGCGTACGCTTAAGAAGGTTCAAAAGTCGATTGTGGTAGTAGAAATTGGTCATCTTGAGTTTACCCCAGACAAAAAGTCTTTATTTTTTGGATGGCTTAGCGAAATGTTTTCTTTGGAGGAAGGTTGTGTGAAAGAGTTACCTCAATTTGCAGAAAATGACTATTGTTATCTTTGGGGTTCATTCATCTTTGATGGCCAGTACATTATCGGTGAACCAAGTTCCTCTCGAAGTTCCCATAATGTTCTTTGCTTGGCAGAAATATTCTGTTTTTGGGCCACACATGAGATGCAACGAATGGATAGTATGGAGTTTGATGATCTATTTAATTCGTTAAAAGATTATCATACGAGTTTACTATTCCATTGTAAACTCGTTAGGCGTAGAGACGTTGAGAGGTTTCTCTCTAATGTGGGTCAGGCTCCTAGAAGAGAGTATCCTAGAAGATTCCTTTGCAAAGATTGCTAATCACTCAGACGAATATACCAAGAAGCATCCACATCACTTATTCGTCAGCGTGCTATCGATCTCTATGCAGAAATGTTTCCCTATCAGGTTTGGAATATTAAGACCGCAAGACCTTTACTGGAGGAAGCGTTTTTGGCGGGTGTCCCGCTAAATCCATTTTTCTATCTTCTTCACCTGACCTGTCTCTCTAAAGTGAGAGTGAAGAAAAATGTGTACGACTGGAATCGATTTTTTAACCTTTGTGGGGTTGCAAGTTTGAACGCGTCAATTTTTTTAAAAGAGGTAAGCAGTACAGACCAGGATCTGTTAGACTGTCACGTTGTCCAGAGGGTTGATAGTTTACATCAGTTTTCGTTGATGCCATATTTTATCAAACATGCTCCAATAGAGTTAAAAAATTGTCCCACCTTGAGGAAATCAAGGATTACTGTAGATCGCAAGTGGATTGCAGTAACTCTTTCTGACCCTGGCGGTAAGAAATGCAATTTTTTTGAGAGGGTGGATTAACGGGAAAATTTTAATTTTCAAAACCCCACTCGTATTGTCTTGGCAGTGAATCATTTTGACTTCACTGATGACAGTAGTATTTTGCTTTACATCACCACGAACAATTCCCTGGAAGCCCTCACTCTGAGGACTGGTAACATGCTGTCAAGTGTTTCAGGGCTAATCCCATTGCGACTAAGACTTAGAAACCAAGCTGGGTTTATTTTTCGTGACCAAGAAGGGGAGAGGATCATCTTGTTAAAGGACTTTCTCGCAAACCTTCTGGAGTTTCTGTCGTTTTCATCCGAAGTAAAACAAGTTGGGGTGGCGTTCTCTGTTTGACAACCAAGTCCTCCTTGAGGGTCCTCAAGTTTTTTTTTTAAAATAACTAGTAAAAGCAGATTCCATTTTACCTTCTTGTCAGTCTCCGCTGGTGAACCATGGTGCAAAATACACATTGTGCGTTTCTGTGTTGGGCAAAAGAATAGCGGGCCTTGAAAGAGGTGCTAAGATTTTGTTGTTTAATGGAGATATGGATACTCCAGTAGTAGTTTGAGAGGAGTATGGCAAGCGTACCGTTACTTTCCTCACATTTTCAGTGGATGGCGCCTTACTTCTCTTTTGTACACAAAGTGCTGCGTGTTTATTTGTTCGAGATGTTCAACTGAATGTTTTAAAAGCATCATTTGACTCCCTATTGAGTTCCCAGCCGGTGCACTGTTGTTGCTTCTCAAAGGATAAAAAGATATTGTTATCTGCGGCGCCTTTCAAATCTCCATCTTCGAATTCGATAAGCACCCACTTTCCATATTAGCAATGTTGGAACCCCCTGGCCCTTTCCGACAGTTTGACAAGTTCACACATTGCACGGTGTCGTCAGACAATGAGGTACTAGCTTGCTGCTTTGCCGACACGATTCTTGTCCATGCGCTTAATACTCATAGAGAGCCTAGCTTCATGGAATTACCACGTGGCCATTTTGGACGCATTGAATTCTGTCAGTTTTTGAAAGAACGTCGTTAACTGATATCCTATGGCATAGATTGCACCGTGTTTCTGTGGGATTTGGATGAGTGGAAAGCTGCTGCATATGCTAGAGTTGCGGAAGGACGAGAAAGTGTCTTAAGCATGGCCGTGTGCCCCTCAGAGGAGAGGGTTGCCTGTTTGACTAGTTTTGGACGATTCGTTGTGATAGAGCTCTGTGGACCTGTCAATGATAAACCCAGGGAATTCTCCATTTCCATTTCGACGAAAAACAAAGAAATGATAAGCGTGACAAGCTCTAGACGATTTGATTGGAAAAAAGATCCAGCGTCAAGATTCTAGACAGTTCTCAAGCTATTTGGAATCTATAGACTGGACTGAGTATTTTGAACAGATGAATACGACAGCCGATGAGAATGTGGAGAATGAAGATGACCTGAATGATTTTGAAGAGATGAATATGAGGGATGATGAGAATATGGAGAGTGAAGTTGAATCGAATGAAGACCACCAGTACTGTGACTAAAATATTGTTTTCTATTTGAAAGGGTTTTTTCAGATCCTTTTGATCAAGAAGCTTAGGTATAGTAGGTTTGAATTTACCTTTGAATGCCTTGATTTCGGTGATAAAAATGTGTTTTTCATAAGATGTTGTCTGAACAAAGCTCTTTAAAAAAAGCAGTTTTGGTTAAGTGCTGAATGGTTATTGTAGAGACCACCCTAAAAACTTGATTTTCAACTTGAAATTGCTTTCTGGACGATGCCAAAGACTTGCAATCTGTTTTGTGTTAATACTTCATTCCGTGAGCCTGGTCGCTGTTCAAGTGAGCAAATTAAACAAAAAGTAATGGTCTAAAACTCTCGGTCTTAATTGTTCAATCATTTGTAGCGAAAGTGAGTGAAGAAAGTATGCAGATAGTTAAATCTTGCTGTGCATGTATACTGTAGAAGGTTGATCACCCCTGGTCTCATACG